CAAAGCACTCGCAGTCAACGCCCCCCTTTTGTCATTCCCACGCCCTCTACACCAAAGACGAACATCTACAAATCTACCAGGACATGACAGAATCTACACAATCTACATATTTTTGAACGCTATGCATCACGCCCTTGAGAACTAAATGTTAAGAGAAGGAGGAGAGGAAGAGGAGGAGGAGGTGATGGAAGAAGATGAAGTGGAAGAGGAAGAGGAGGAGGAGATAAGTTGTGGAAAGGAGACTACGCAGAGGTGTTGGAGAAAGGAGGAAGAAGTAGGAGGGTAGGAAGAGGGGGGGGGATAGAGAGTGAGAGGGGGGTACTGGAGGTGGAGTCGGATATCTAATGCTTACTCCTACGCATTCATGGTTTTAATTTTCTCTTTGGTTCTCTGTCATATGCCCTACAATTTATCTATAACAAATCCCAGGTGGATTGGCTAATTCATCAAAGGGAAGACGCCTCGTTATGCCTTCAGGTTTTTTTCTCTCTCGTCCACGTGGTATTCAGATTGTAGATAGGCCTATATCCAACTTCGTTTCCAATATATTGTATAAATGTTTCATCTCCATAGAGAGTAAAATGTATCACTATATATTTTCATCATGACTCCACACGTGTTTTCGTTATAGTGCATTATATTCAATCATTTCACAAATAATTCCCTTGCCCTAAAAGTCACTATAAATCAGCAATTTTAGTCACACCCAACACGAGCACGAGAAACAATTTCCCAAAATATAGAGAACATGAACAAAAACAAAGAAAAATAGAAAGCCAACTCCACGTAAGAATGAAAAGAAAAAGAAAGAAAACGGCGACATGAAAAGACTTGAGAAAACATGACAAAACAATAGCATTCCATCCCTGAGTGAATTAAACCTTCGTATATAAACATAAACCCAAACACGGAACACATTAATCAAAGGGGGACGAAAAGACCTCTCCATCATCACATATGTATTATAGGGTCCCAGAGGAAGGCTTAGGCGAAGGGGGTCCTCACTGAAGCGGCGGCAGCGTCAAGCCCAGAATACCAAGAGGAGCAAGAAACGTGACCCAGACTCCAATGAAAGGGTGCATGTGTATAAGTATCTCTTGTAAATTTATGACCGGGGGCTTCGGAATGGCTGAGGCAAGGGAGGGAACAACACTCAGGGTGACTCTCGCTTCAGAAGTGTGAGGGATATTTCAGAGCTGGCAAGAGAGAGAGAGAGAGAGAGAGATAGAAAGAAGGCGAAGGAGGTACCCATCTGTTCATCTCGAATGGTTGGTCTTTTGTATCTTGGGCTCAAAAGGGGGGGGGGGCACTAGCCGATTCATAAAAATGACGTTTATAAATTTGATAAAGCATCATTACTGGCTAAGTTTGTGTGATAGAGAAAACCACTCATAGGCAAGTAACCACATACATTTTCTAATTATAGTCACAAATCCATTATCTCTGTCAAAAGCAAGAGAAAAATAAATCCAAACCATCCAGCCTACATCTCATTATATCAATCTACATATATACAACCACGTACACGAATGCATACGTGAGCACAGACACACACAGACACAGACACAGACACAGACACACACACACACACACACACACACACACACACACACACACACACACACACACACACACGCACAGCACAACCAGCATGCCTCCGGTTCCCTGATAACCCAAATATTGGACGACTTAACCGGCCACGTTCGCGAGTGTGAGTGAATGTGTCGCTCTCTCCGCCATACATTTTTTTTCCTTTTTTTATCTCCTCCAACCTCATCTACAAGTCAAATGCATTATCCATGATACGCGGGGAATTCGCCTGGTTCGCATATGGTTACCATCAGCTAAGCTCTACAGAAACCAGAATGCTGATGGAAATACCAATCTTTGCTTTTGCTTTCATCCCTGGCAGTGTGCTTAAATTTGCAGTAGATCTTAAAATGATGCTGATCATGGTGGTTGTGGTAGAAGTTAAATAATAATAACAATAACAACAACAACAATAATAATGATGGTGGTGGTGATGCTGATGATAATAATGATAATAATAATGGACAACCAAGGCTTCACAGGTAAGGAACACAAACTACAGTGAGGAAATACCCCCCCTCCTCTCCACGCACCCCACCTCCCTCCACCTTACGCACCTCTCCCCCTTAACCCCCCCCCCCCCAACCCCCATCAAAACACACACACTTCCGGTGGTGCGTGAGTGTCCTAAATGTTCCCAGGAGCGCACATGATGAACCGCGCTACCACATTTCCCTCCCTCCCGCCCCCCTTTCCACAGACACCAGGTGGCAAGTAGAGGGCAGGCCGAAGGGAAAAGGGAAGGGACGAAGAGGAAGGGGCACATTGGAGGGATCAAAGCGAGCGACAATAATACCGACGATGAGAATAGCGGCAGAATATATGATATGCAGAGACTATTAATAATGATACTGATAATAGCGATAAGTAATCAAACGTAATATCAATAATGATAATTACAAAATCAGGACAACATGAGAACTGTTAAAAGGGAAATTATAATATACCAAATGAAATACATCCACACACACACACATACCAGTGTGTGTGTGTGTGTGTGTGTGTGTGTGTGTGTGTGTGTGTGTGTGTGTGTGTGTGTGTGTGTGTGTGTGTGTGTGTGTGTGTGTGTGTGAGTACGTACGACTGTTAGAGAGCGTGTCTGGGCGCGCGCATGCGTGTGTATGTATGTATGTATACTCATTCATTTACATACAAAAAATTGAGAAAGAAGAGGAAGAGACGTAGCAACATAGACTACGAAGCTATCCAAACAGACAAATGAATAGAAAAACAAATGAATAGAAAAATAAACAGGTATAAAGCAGGGGCGGTGGCGTGACCTACAGGTGGCGGCCCGCGGCGACGCTTCCCCCAGCCGCCGCGTGCAGTCCACCGAGCCTTGGACCTCCCAGCCCACCGGCCCACCGGCCCACCAAGCCGTCTGCCTTTTGGTTACGCGTGTCTGAAAGGTCGTAGTGGTTTCGTGTTTGGAGATACTTTTCTATACATGGTCTCGGTTTCCTTTGTGCCTTTTTGGGGGGCTCATTTGTGATGTCCATTTATCTTTCAGGGTAGGTAGATTGCTCTCTCTCTCTCTCTCTCTCTCTCTCTCTCTCTCTCTCTCTCTCTCTCTCTCTCTCTCTCTTCTCTCTCATTTATCTATTTATCCAATTGATCGACCTATCTCTCTATCCATCTATCTCCAGTCTTCCTTCTATCTCGCAGCACATTTTGTACCTCACCCTGAAGTTTTTACAGAAATTCAGAACGTACCGATACCAATTAATAAACAAATATGCATTTCAGTTGCCTAATCTCTTCTCAGCGCTTCAGACACTCCTCGCATAATGGAAGAATGAGCTCACCAAAGAAGCGCGCCTCTGCCGGCTGAAGCGTTGAATGCACCATGTAAACAAACCCACGTGGCGAGAGCGCTACAGCCCGAGACGAAAATAGCATTTTTCTCTTGCCATTTTCTCTCCGAATTCGCCGTCTTCCGTTTTCCTCTCTGCGATTCGCTATTGACTCTTTCCTCTACTTCAACATTTGGTGAATTTCTGGATGGAACCCAATTCACGCATTCTTTTCTTTGCTGTATTTTTCTTCGAGTATTTTATTTTTATTTCGACAGCAGCATAACACTTAAATTTATCGGTAAATCTTAAGTTCAAGCTTGGGATATTCTGGCAACATTACCGCATGCCATGTCAGTCACAATGTTGGGAACGAACATACACTTGTAAGCCCCAGACGCACATACACGTGCAGAGAATCTGGGACATACTGTACATTCCCTCTCCCCTTTTTTATTGCCTCCACTTTTTTCATCTCTCACTCTCTCTGACAAATACAGGAAGGAAGGAAGAGAGAGAAGGGAATGTGGCGAGGAAGAAACAGGGCACCGAAAGGGAGGGGCTCAGGAAGTATTTCTGTCCCTCTTCCTGACGGCCGCGAGCAAGCAAACCCGGTTCTGCCCTCCTTCCCTGCCCCCTGCCCCCCTGCCCCCTTCCCCCGCTCTAGCCACTCCCGGAGATCTATCACGCCTTCGATACGTCATCAGCGCCGAGACGTGACACCTCCCCTACCCCTCGACACACGATCTTCTTGAATATTTAACCTTTGTGTGGTCTCCCATCCTCGACCTCTTCCTCATTCCTCCGCCTCCTTGCCTTATCCCACTCTTGGCACTCGTACCCGTTACCTACCTATTAGTCTTCTAGGTGTAATTTCTATCATATCTCGTCTTCATCTGATTTTCCTTTTCTTTTCTTCCTTGCATTCTCCTTCCTCCTTGCTTCTCCCCCATTCCCTCTCCGCTCTTTCTAGACGATCAGACACAACATACTCCCCGCGGGTTGCCATCATAACAACCCCATAAAGCATAACTACATCCGGTGCTCTACCTTTACTTGTAATTGCCAATTTGACATGATTTACGAGAGGGAAGCGCGGGGTGGATGAGTGGAGCTGACAGCCAGAGGGTGGAATGAGCGGTGGAGTGGCATGACGCCGGCCCTCTCCCTCACCTGTGGCATCTTGAGAAGCGCCCGTACCTGCCCGCGACAAGGAAGGGGTCCCTGGGTACGGGGCTGAGCGGCGCGTGGGCGGGGGGGAGGGTGGCGAGCGATGGATGGATGGGGGAAGAAAGGAGGAGGGGGAGAGCGAGAAGGCGGAGCGGCGGGGAGAGAGCGAGGAAGGCGGGCGCGGAGCGGGCGGGGAGAGAGCGAGGAACGGCGGCGGCGTGGGCGGGGGAAAGAGGCAGGAAGGGCGGGCGGGGGAGAGAGCGAAGGAAGGGCGGAAGACGGAGTAGGCGGAGGGGACAACGGGAGAGAAAAATGCGTTCCGTGACCTGCGTTAAGATCGTCTCGGAAATCACCACTCCCTCACCCTCCCCACCCGCCTCTTCTCCGCCCACGCGCGGGTGTGCGTGCGAGGGATCGGATTATTCCTGAGAGAAATCTTCAAACCACCGCCTTCCCTTCTGGTGATCCCAACAGCGGCGGCGGGAGTTTGTGAATAAGTGAAGAAGAGACCAACACCTGTCGAAGTCTCATTCCTGTTTCCTCTTCTTTCTTATTTACACTCTTAACGAATAGTTTTATTTTTATTTTCCTAATCTTCATTTTTTTTTCTACACTACCTATCTCCCATTTTCCTCCTCTCCTCCACTCCCCCTTCGTCAATTCTCCCCATCTCACCCTCCTTTCTCTTCCAAGCTGTAATACCAAACGACAAAAACACACACACACACACACAAACCTTCAAAACAACTAAATCTAATTCAAAGTCTCTATTGTGCAACATAAACACGAGATCCTGCCCATAAAAACGCAAAGAAAAGACCTTGCAAGAAACGTGGGTTTCCTAATGGGTCCTTGAAAGCATTTTGACAAGCAGATCAGGCGACTGGCAGAGGCTGTGGAATGACAATGGTGATGATAAAGATAGCGATGGTGGTGATGATCTAAATTATGATGGTGGTAATGATGGAGATAATGGTAGTGATGAGGATAATAATGGTGATGAAAATGACAATGATAGAGGAGGTTGTCATGGACATAATGGGGGTGGGGAAGATTATTATGATAGTGATGATAATGATGTATATTATGATGGTGATAATGAAAGTGATGATAATAAGAATGATAGTGATGATAATCATTTAAATTATGATGGTGGTCTTGACAGAGCTAGAGGGATGAGAGTGAGAATGATTGTGATGATGACATAAGGTACGATGGTGGTAATGATGACGATAATGATAATGATGATGACGATAATGATAGTGATGGTAACGATAATGATAGTGATGGTAACGATAATGATAGTGATGGCAATGATATACATTATGATGATGGTCACAGTAATGATGCAGGTTTCGATGAAGGTAGCAGTGACGAAAATGACTGTGATGAAGATGACACTGTTGTGCGCCATAATGGAAACGACGTGAACCATGACAATCATGGTGATGTGAACAAAAATCCCTGACTGTCGACACTAACTCGCGAAGAGAATATGAAAACAAACGTACAAAGAAATTCGCCAACACAACGATAAATACAAATACAAAATCAACATTAAAACGTCTCTGAGGCTTAAAAAGGCTTATATACTTGCCAAGTCTGCATTCTTTCTTTCTGAAGAGGCGGAGGTCACCACATGAGCTCTTGGTGTTGGGAGGGCTAAAGGTCATGGTGACTGCTAAGAAGAAAGGGAAGGAGAGAAAGAGAGAGAGAGAGAGAGAGAGAATAAGGAGAAGGAGAGAGAGAGAGAGAGAGAGAGAGAGAGAGAGAGAGAGAGAAGAGAGAGAGAGAGAGAGAGAGAGAGAGAGAGAGAGAGAGAGAGAGAGAGAGAGAGAGAGAGAGAGAGAAAGTAAGCATGAAAAAGATTTTATATACATATATATATATATATATATATATATATATATATATATATATATATATATATATATATATTAGAGAGAGAGAGAGAGAGAGAGAGAGAGAGAGAGAGAGAGAGAGAGAGAGAGAGAGAGAGAGAGAGAGAGAGAGAGAGAGAGAGAGAAGAGAGAGAGGAGACTATGAATATATATATATATATATAATATATATAACATATATATATATATATATATAATTTATATATAAATATATATATATATATATATATATATATATATATCATATATATATATATATATATATATATATATATATATACACACATAGAGAGAGGAGGGAGAGAGAGAGAGAGAAGAGAGGAAGGGAGAAGAAAGAGAAAAGAGAAAGAGAGAGAGAGGAGAAAGAGACAGATAGATAGATAGATGATAGATAGAGAGAGAGATTTGAGAAAAAGAAAAAGAAATATGAACTATCCAAGAAGGAATAAGGAACGGAGCAAGAACCCTAAACAAACCCAGAACCCCGTTTACGACCACGCGAAAGAGGGAGGAAGGAGGAAGGGAAGAGGAGGGAGGAAGGGGGAAGGGAGAGAGGAGGGAGGAAGGAGGAAGGGAGAGAGGAGGGAGGAAGGGAAGGGAGAGAGGGGAGGAAAGGAGGGGGAAGGGAGAGAGGGAGGAAGGGGAAGGAGAAGGAGGGAGAAAGGGGGAAGGAAGAGAGAGGGAGAAGGAGGAGAGAGAGGAGGGAAGGAGGAAGGGAAGAGAGAGGAGGAGGGAGAGGGAGGAAGGGAGGGAGAAGGGAGAAAGGGAGGAAGGAGAAGAGAGAAGGGAGAAGGGGGAGAAGGGGGAGAACTCCTGCTGATAGTATGGTCGGTCAGCGGAGGTCCCTTACTGTTTTTCTTCTTGTTTTTGTTGTTGTTCTCCTTCTTCATCATCATCTTCTCCTTCTCCATCTTCCTATCTTTCATCATCATCTTCTGCTCCATTTCCTTCTTCTTCTCTTTCATCATCAAAATCACCTTCTCTCTTCATCATTATCATCATCATCACCTTCTTCTCTTTCATCATCATCATCATCACCATCATCTTCTCCTTTCTTCATCCTACTTTTGAGGGGAGGGGTGACAGGCGGCCACTTCCAACCTTCTTGCTACGCCCCCTTCCTTTTATCTCTATTCCCTATATCTATCTATTTATCTATTGTTTCAGGTCTCTTCTTTTTTGTCGTTTTCCACTCTCTTTCACTAATATTCCCATTTCACATCCTAATTTACTTATCATCACTATTATTACACTTATCATTACTCTTGTCATTATAAATATTACAATTATCAGTCTTGAATACTATTATTATTACATCATTATTAGTCTTGTTGTTATCATCACTAATATTCCCATTTCACAGCCTAATTTACTTATCATCACTATTATTACACTTATCATTACTCTTGTCATTATAAATATTACAATTATCATTCTTGTTTTATCTTTCCTAATAATAATTGTGATAATAATGATAATAATAACAAAGATAATCATTATTATTCCTACTTTAATCACAATTATCATTATCATTCATACTATTCTCATTCTCAATATTATTAGCATTATTATCATTACCATAATTATCCTTTTTGTATTAGTTGTTTTTGCTTTACCATAAAGATTGTTACGAATAACATGATCATAAACATCATTATCAATATTTTCATCATCATCTTCATCATTGTTATCATCGTCGTGACTATCATCATTCGCTATCTGTCTTTAATCCTGTCTTCCTCTCTCCTCCCCCTTCCCTTTATACCTTCATTCAGGGAGGAAGGCAAGTCACGAGTCACCCTTGGCCGAACGGAGATGCACCTGGACGCAACCCACCAGTTCTCTCTCTCTCTCTCTCTCTCTCTCTCTCTCTCTCTCTCTCTCTCTCTCTCTTCTCTCTCTCTCTCTCTCTCTTCTCTCTCTCTCTCTCTCTCTCTCTCTTCCGTCTGTCTGTCTCTCTCTCGCTTTCTGTCTGTCCTTCTCTGTCCACCTCTCTGAACTCCCATCTCTCTCCCTCTCTCTGTGTTTCTGTCTCTCTCTCCACCCCCCCCCCCCGCTCTCTCACTGTCTATATGTCTCTCTCCCTCTTCCTCTCCCTCACCCCCTCCCCTCACTCTCTCTGTCTCTCTGCCTCTCCCTCCCTCCTCTCTCTTCTTTCTTTCTCTCTCTCTCTCCCTCTCCCTCCCCCCCACACACTATTTCTCCACTTTATTCATGTTTGCCTCACTCCTCATTCTCGTTTTTGCCTCACAAACAACTGCAATGAAAAATTTATTATCTACTTTCCTACGCAATCACCAGTCATTTTGTTGATAACTGTACTCTGCTTATCCATCTGTTTGTTTTTTCTCTGTTTATTATCCTATTCCGAATAATAACAGCAGATACAGTGCGACAGTGATTGTGAGGGTTAAGTGAGGACACACGTTTTAGAAAGAGCAAGAACATTAATGGTAAAAATGGTGAACAGAGAGGAATAACAGGTAACGAGAGAGTAGTAAAAATAATATTGGAATATCATATATTAAATAATATGTTGAAGGAAACATGCAACATGGAAGGTTGGCCTATGGCACCTTCAAGAGCTCTGCACATAATTTCCATACCCTTTCATAGAAAAAAATCTAGAGAGAACATATAACATGAAGGGAGGAAGGATGAGAGAGAAAGAAACATAAATATACATCAACTCCGAAAATGGAATAACTAGATTGGAGATTGGAAAGGGGGGAATACTGAAAAATCCGATTGCTTTTTATTCATTACGAAACTGAATCACTCAAATCTTTTGTAAACATGCAAACAAAACAGTACACTGTACACAGACGAGTAATTGTTTAATGCTGGTGATTACTAAAAACAAACTCCTAACTTTGAAAAAAAGGAAAGTTCGTTTTTATGAATCGCCTATTTCCAAGCTCGAAAAGATAGGATCCAATAAGGAAAAAATAATTGATTAACTTACCATTTCCCTGGACGTCGTAGAATCCTTTGCGCCCCATGGCTCACAATAATTTTATACAAACAAATTAAAATCCACTTCACTAACCAATTTTCTCTCTAAAATCTTATCCTTTACTTTTCACTTATATCATCAACACTCTTTAGATATCCAGCATAAGTGAAATATCTCTTTTATTCCTCGGCTAAGCGCCTTTTTTGTCCCACAGCGAAGAACCGAATCACAAGTCACTCGTAATCCCGGCGGAGCGAAGGGCACTACACCTCACTCTACCACTG